ACTTTAACAAACTTGGGCACAAGAGAGCTCAATGCTGGCAACTTCAACACAGGGAAGAAGCCATGGCAGGAAAGGCTGCTACCCAGATAGGACATATGAGAAGCCAGTGTAAGAAGAATACTACCAATAAGTCAGCTTCGGGAAACCAGCAGTGGTTGGTGCTGAGGGACGCCCACCAACCCCCATTGTGAAAGTCCAAACAGCTAAGTGTAAAATGGCAAGCACACATAGTGTCTACGTGACAGGAAAGCTGGATGGCGAAAAGTGCAACTTTGTCATAGATTCTGCATCTCAGCAAAGCCTTGTGAGTATCAAGTTGCTAGATCACAAAGGAGTACCAGAACCCATACAGAAGCTTTGTGGTGTGACAGGACATTATGTAAGGTTGTGGGGACCAGTGTGGGTAACTATTGAGCTCATTGGTATGAAGGACAGACACAAAGTATACTTGGCTGACATTGAAGACCAATGCATATTAGGGTTGGATTTCTTACTACTGAGGAAGTGTGTAGTTAATTTTGATAAAATGACGTTTGGGAACAAGAAAGGCCAAATTCCAGTAAATGTTGCTGCTTCTGTTCATTTTCATGTCACAGCACTTAAGTCAACTACAATAGCCCCTATGTCAGAGAAGATAATTTGAGGTAGAATAAAAGAACATCCCCAAGGAAGCCCGATGCTTGTGGAAGACCCATCCAGGCCAGCAGACGTGAAGATTGGAAGGTCACATGTGCCAGGTCATCACTTGTACCCATAACAGTGGCTAATTTCTCTAAATGTGAGCAGACACTGAAGGAAGGGGCATTGTTGGATGTGTGACAGGAGATAGAGCCAGTCAATGTTAAGGCAAGAAATACAACCATAAAAGAAGGACATCCTCTCCCAGAACATTTAACTGACCTCAAAAGGAACAGCATAGTCCATTTGTTATCATCACAGGCTCTTCAGGTGAGCGAACTTTTGGTGAATTATGCAGACATCATTTCAAAAGGAGATCATGACCTCGGCTGCACAGACCTTGTGGAACACAGAATAAACACGGGCTATCCAATAAACATCCCTCCAAGGAGAATAGCTCCGGCAATGTGGCAAGAGATGGAGAAGGTCATGGATAGCCTAATTAAGAAAGGGATAGTCGAGATATCAGATAGCCCTTGGTCAGCTCCCGTCGTGTTA